TCCAAAGAAGAGTAATTGTACCACAATTACATTGATAGTTTTATATTAACCAAGTTAATATAAAACCAAGTTTAGGTTTTAAAGAAAATTTAGATTCTGTAATGTAGTACAGTACTCTAAAATCATAGTTGCTGTTTAGCCAGAGTTGTACAAACCCTAATTTTTTAAGACTAGTTTTTCTAGAGAATTAAACTTAACAGAAACAACCTTAAGAATAGTGTTACCTTAGATTAGATAAAGGGAAGTGATGGGAGGGAAAGGGAAGGGATGTGGGAATAGGAAAGATAGTAGAATGAAACAGACATTATTACTTTATGTATAGGTGACTGCATGACCTATATGATTCTGCAACATGTACACTCAGAAAAATGAGAAATTATGTCCCATCTATGTATGATATATGAAAATGCACAAATGTGTTCTACTGTCATGTATAACTAATTGAAACAAATTAAAAAATTTTTAAAAAGAGTAAATTAATGTTTTAAAAAATCTTTGTCATTTTACATATATTAAACTTTGGTTTTTGTTAGTACGCYAATATTTGACTTTAGAAATAAAACTTGAATAGGTTTAATTGATTGTGTTAGTTACATATAAACAACTTAGTTCACACAAACTTTTTAAAATTTACCCTTCACTTACATATATCTTTTATAATTGAATTCGACCCCCTTGTTGTTTATGTAAATGTATTTCAACTTTAGCACATAAAGACTTTATTACCTAGAAACAATTTCTTTTTTTAACTAAGTACTTTTTATACCTAGAAGCTTTTAACTTTTTATCTGTTTGTTTACCTATTTATAAAAACATAAACAATAATCAAATATATCATCCATAAAATTTAAAAAATTAAGAGTATTTGGTATATTATATATTGTTAGCACTTTATCTTTGTAAATTAATCATATGTCTCTAACAAACACATATATATGATTAATCACAGATATGTCAAATCTAGTTTACTTATTTTTAAAAATCAAGATATCAGACAAATGTATTGAACAGCATTAGCCATTTCTTCCTTGATGAAGAAAAATTCTAGAAAATAAATGATAGATGATAGACATTTTATAGATATCACCATTTTATCAGTCRTTTGACCCCTTAAAACAAAAACAAAAACTGAGTCAGTAACCTTTAAAGACATATTTACTTTTATTTGTTTATACCTGTTGGGACTTTAAGTAACATTGTTTTTAGTGAAGACAAAAATCATTTTTAAACTTTTTTTTTAACCAAACAAAAGTAGACATGACAATCATTAGTGTACACACATACACAAAACAAAGAACAATTGCCATGCAGCTTTTTTAAACCTATTAGATTGAGAGCTAACTCTTGTAAATTAATCACTGAGCAAAGTAGAGTGTAACAAGAACAACAGAAACACTCTATAATTAGATAAAATAGGTCKAATGAGGGAAACACATTAACGTAGGCACACTGGACCAAAATCAGAAACTCAAAGAATTAGAGTTAAAATAGAATTTTAAAAGCCTTCCTAGCCTCTGTCCTGATGTGGTCCTACTTATCTGAGGTGAAAAGAATTTGAGAAGAGAAATTAGGACTTGTGGGCACTCGGAGAGAGGAGAATGTCTATTTTCTTAATTGTAAGTGAATATAGACAAAGGCATTGTCCCATGGATTCCTGAAGGAATTTCCCAAAAAGGTATCAAGGGATCCTACTTTCATGGTCTCCTTGGGAGAGCTCCTTTAGGTTGGGGTCCTGTTCTAAACTCGTTTTTCTTGTCTCTTGGATATCAGCCACCAAAATTTTAGCCTAGCATCCTGCAGCTTTATAAGCTGGACTGTCACAGTGAAAAATCTATTGGGGCCAACCCCCCCCCCCAAAAAAAAAAACCCACACAAAACAAAACAAAACAAAAAATGCCGAATGCTTTCTCTGATTTAAGGATGCTGTGCTGATTCATAATGTGCTGGGGAGGGGCATGGCATGGAAGGATTAGATGAACTCTAGATAGGGCAAAGGGGAAAAGGGGAGGGATGGGAAAGAAGTGGGTATTGTTATGGGGAGCTGCCTCAGAAAACACTCTAAGTCCCAATTAAAACAAAAGAGAGCTTTAGGTACATGGCCAGGGACTGTCTTTTACCATACCTCCTCTCCTCAACTTCCCTGGCCTCAGTTGACAAGAACTTGGAGGTTGGACCTGGCTCTGAAGCCAACAAGTGGCTCCTATCTATCTCCACATGGTCATGAGCCCTGTGCTTGTGGTGTGGCTGCAGTGCAGCCTGGGGAGCCCAGGGCCTTTGGCCTTTTTAACCAGAACTTAGCTGTTGCTTTTGTCCAGAGCCTGTGAGGCTGGAGATTTCTCTCTACTCTGGCCATCTGCTTTTCTCCACAGCTGTTTTTCTTTCTGCCATTGTTTATCTTGTCCATGTTCCTGTAAATTTAGGCTGATGGGATATTTTCATAGGAATAATTGCTCTTCCCCTTTGCTGAGTGTACCCTGAGCAAGTGGAATGTCCTGTAAACCTGAAAAGGAGACCATCCCTGTCTCAAGTCATAATACGGAAGTTTCAACAGCCACTGCTATGTTCTTTTATGTCTCTTTTCCCAGGTTGGGCAAAGGAGGTTGAAGGCAGGGCAGAGTCCGAGTCATCTTCACTTACTTCTCTAAACCCCAGCAGCTTTTCTGGAAATTATCTTCTGACATAAGGCTGTTTTTTCTGACCCACAGTGGGATGTTCTGCAGCTGCCTGGAACTGGGCTAAGAAACAGTGCTAGGCAAACTTTAGTTTTCTGGTGCCTTGCTATTCTTGCACAGAGGAGGGTTATACCATGAACTTAGTCTTAGGCCAGTTGGACTCCTTATGTAACGGCATGGATACCTGATTATGTAGAATTTCTTCCATTTACCTATCTCTGACAGACTAATTCCAGTAGCAAAATTATATAACAATTCAGAAAGTCATTCAGTGGCCTGATACAGTAAAACATCAGCTTTTTCTTAGGCAGAATTTTACCTATTTGTGGCCCACTCAGCCAGGATTGTTTCCAAGAGTCTACAGGTGAGATCAATGCACTATTGTCTATGTGTTAAAGGGCCAGCAACATTCAGTCCAACACAAAGAGACAACCAGAGTGGATCCCCCAACCAGGGGCAACAGAAGGGACCCCTTAAAAAAGACCAGCTGGGGAAACATCTCTTAGGTCCCCAACTGCTATTTTACCAGAACTCTGACACCAATTGTGCCATAGATGTCCACAGACAGAGGGACCAGATGTTCCCCTGTAGGGGACCTGAAGTGTAGACTCCAGGGTCTTAGTGTGCACACAGGAGGAGCTTGCCAGATGTCCACATTGGCATGATTTCATTGCATTCATTTCCCTTTTCCTAGAGTAGACCCAGGTTAGAAAAACCCACACTATTCATGAAGAGAAGACAAGAGGTCCCTGAAGCCAAGTATCCTTGGCAGCTCCTGGAAAGACCCATCAGTCCTTTCCTTTACTTACAGTTACCCTTCATCCAGGACAACCTGAGACAAATGCACTAATTTGTCTAATTCTCCAGACTCAGCTGTCAATGGACTAATTAGCACCTTGCATCCTCAGTGTGGATGTGGGGTTGCTCTGAGTGCCAGGCTTGCCTGAGAAGGCTGGAGGGGCACTCTCAGTTTTCTTCATAGTGACCAAATCTGATAGCAAAATCTTGGTCCTTATCCCTAGTCCTGATMCAATAATGGGAACAAGGTTTTGAGAAAAAGAAAAAGAAAGTTTTATTGCTTTGCTACCAAAAGAAAAATAGAGGGGACTCCTGTCTCAGAAGCTGTGATTCCAATGGCCAGTGCATAGAGGTTTTAAAGTAGTGACTCAAAGTCTACCCATAGGCTGTATGCTGTCAGGAGTCATAATTCCCTTTTAGCCTTGAGAGAGATATTTTTTAGAACTTCTAGTGCCAGCCGTAATGTCTGTATTTCTTGGTTCCTGTGGAGCATGAGCTGAAGGACAGATAACCTAGCTTAAGTACTGAATTAACACACAAAGTAGGTTAACCTAATTTTCCCCAGGGTTAGAGAAACATAAAGGGAAAACAGAAATAAAAAACCAAGTCAGTTTTAAAATAAGTCTCAGTGGAAGAGAGCAAGGTTTATGTTCAAAGCATAAAGTGGACCCTGACACATTCCTTGGGAGAAGCAAATGGAACACCTGGCAGGTGGGAGTGGGTGGGGTTGATGGAGAATAGAAAGTTTAGATCAAGCTTGGTGATGTAGTGGATGCCAGTAGTCCCAGGGACACAGACATGTAGGCCAGAAGCTCACAAATTCAAGGTCAGCCTGGAGAATTTAGTGAAACCATGAAAGATGAAAACAATAGAAAAAGTTGGGGATATAGCTCAGTTTTAAAGTGCCCTTTGGTTTAATTCCCAGTAATACCACCAACAAAAGAAAATTCAGATATAATATCAAAGAATGCTTTACCATGAAGCCAGCATGTACTTAGAAGGGGACAGAAAAGAGTGTGTGTTGGCTGGGGCTGAGGTCAGTCAGTATCAATGGGGCTAGAGGCAGGAGGGAAATTAAAGCCAATCTTAAGTTAACAAATATTTTATTCTGTCCACTAAGAACAAACTGTTCAATTATTTGTTTGTGACTGTTTGGATGGTTATAGTTAACATAGAGGAAATCATCAAAGTTATAATCAGCAGGGAGACTTTTTATATTTTTATTTTTTTTCTGAGTACTAGGGATTGAATCCAGGGGCACTTCTCACTGAGCCACATCCTCAGCCCCTTTCTACATTTATCTTAATCAGGGTTTCACCAAACTTTTTAGGGCCTCTCTAAGTTGTTGAACCTGGATTTGAATTCTTGATCTTCCTGCCTCAGCCTCCTRTTTTCTGTTGCAGAAAATGGTAATCCCCTGCTGGGGTTACAACTATGCATCACCATGCCCTAATCAGGAAGGGTGAATCTCTAATATGATGCTGTAGAAGAATAGCAAGGATGGGTCAATGAATTCAATTGGCCATGTTTTTAGGATTTAATACCTGCTGCATATTCTKCCACATTCCATGTTCTGTGCGTCTTTTCTGACCTAATTTTCCCCATGGTTAGAGAAACATAAAGGGAAAACAGAAAGAAAAACCAAGTCAGTTTATTTAGTCATTGCTCATAATCTTTTTTTCCTTTCTTTTATTATTATTATTAGTTGTTCAAAACATTACAAAGCTCTTGACATATCACATTTCATACATTTGATTCAAGTGTATTATGAACTCCCATTTTTACCCCGTATACAGATTGCAGAATCACATCGATTCCACATCCACGTTTTTTGCTCATAATCTTACCATGTATTTCTTAGAATCATTTTTTATATTTTTGCTTGATTGTACTACTTTTGAGTTTTGTATAACCTGCTTTTCCCACTGCTATTCCATTAGGATTATGTTAAGACTTTCTTTCTTTTCTTTTTATTTTTAACCATTTCTTTGTAGGGTCTCTTTAGTTTTAGTTTTCTAGTGTCTTGCTATTCTTGCACACTTGAATTTTCTTCTCAAACTACTATGGAACATGCASACTATTACTTCTCCACTGTTCCAGTATTATGTCTAACATGTTTAAATCCACTTTGCTTCACTTTATTCTCACCACAGTCAACTTGAACTCTGTTTAAAACATATGGTGCACATGTCCCCCCTTTATCAGGAATCCTCTGTTCTTTCACTCTCATCAAAGCCAGGCCCGGCATATGTGACCTGCGAGATTCAAAAGGTTTTCTTTTTGATAAATGGACATTGGATTGTCTTGGTATCTTAGATTCCCATTGGGGATGTTTCTGGGTCATTAGATTTGCCGAAGAAGTGAACCCTGCTTTATTTACATTCCATCTGGATGCTCCACTATCTATAAATACACAAAATTTTATAAAATGCACATTCATTTCCCCTAAGAACAAAGTAAGTCCTAAAAGAACAGAATGATTAGAAGAGACTCAATCTCTACAATGCCATGGAAAGTCTGCTGAAATACTATTTCATTTAGTTTTGATTTGGCTACAGATATCACAGCAGTGTTGATGTGTCCTTTTATGTTGATTGAYGCTTTGTATCAATCTGTTCTATTTTTTCTACAACTCTTTTATTTTATTTTATTTTATTTGCATGGTGTGAATGCTGTCTGCCACATTTTCCCTATAAAGTAATTTTTTTCTTTGTCTTTAGATGTTTTGGTAGGATTTTTAAAATAATATACATAAACATTCATGTTTGATCAAGAAACTCTTCTTTCTTAGTATTTTTTATTTTTAAATTTTTTTTTTGTAGATGGACTTTATTTATTTATTTATTTAATGTGGCGCAGAGAATTGAAACCATTTCCTCACACATGCTAGGCAAGCACTCTACCACTGAGCCCCAGCCCTAGCCCCTTAATAATTTTTATTTTTGTGGCTTGCTTTGGGGAATGCCGCCTCTGCCTGCCTTTTATTTAATGCAGAYAGTGGCTCTATTACTGGAGGTCCTGAAATAGACCACAGTCCTGTAGGCATTCATTTTATTCTATCTGAAGCTCACAGACATTAACCTCATTTTAGTAAGTCTCTGGTTCATGGTTGTGCACTTAAAATTTTAGAATCACCCTACTTTCCCACCATAATTTTCTTCTCTGAGAAATAGATAATTTATCTTATGATATATAAAATCACAATTAAAATGTATATTCTCTGTTGCTACCTCAATTTTACAATTTATTTTATAAAATTGGAGTATAAAAACTTTTTTTGTGAACTTGTGACACTCTCTCCTCAGAGTTTGATGACAGAGAATATCACTGTTACAAAGTATTTTCTTGAATAATAAATCATTTCCACTATTTGTTGTGTCCCTCAGAAATCACTGGTTAAGAGTCAGTTCTCCTAATGCTCACTTCATCTTCAGCAAACTTACAAGCTCTGTGAATTATCAAATGGTCAATGTACTATTAATTTACCTATTCTTATTTCAGGAACTGTTGACATTCAGGGATGTGGCCATTGATTTGTCTGAAGAGGAATGGGAATGCCTGGAACCTGCTCAGARGAATTTATACAGAGATGTGATGTTAGAGAACTATAGAAACTTGGTCTTCCTGGGTGAGTAGAGCTACCCTTCAGAATTTCTAATGAATCGTTATTCCTAATTGTATAATTTTTTCTTCTCACAGAATTTCTACTGGGAACTTCTTCTCTTCATGAATGAGTTTCAGATTCTTGCTTTCAAGAAAAAGACTTGGGCAGTTTTTGTTACAGAGAAGAAAATGTTTAAGCCATTTCTTTTAGTTTTTAATCCTTTCCTTTCTTGAAGTGATATATACTCTTCACTTAAAATTTGTAGTACTTACAGTAATTCAGAGATATAGAATGATGTGACCTACATGTCAAAATTCAATTTCTTCCATCTGTGGTACCAGAATAGAAGCATCAATACTCTCAGTGATAATTCCAACAAACAGTCAATTCGGTTTGTAATGAACATTTGCCTTTAAGCTATATTTGGACACCCTCCCCTGGTGCAAAGGAGAGAGCCTTGAGCTATATACCCAGGTGGATAGAAATTCATGAAACAGAGAACACAATTGAGGGGTCCAAAGGCAAGGAGGAAGCCAAATTCAAATGTTGGGGGAGAAGTTATTATGCCACAGAAATGGTCTTTCAGGTGCTTAGGTTTAATTCTTGTGCTGTCCTAGAAAGACATCTACTGTCCTATGTTGAGCATGGGTCCCTCTTTAGTCTCCTCCTTTTCCCCAAYTGATGTCTATGTTCAGTCAAATTAACAGCCCAAACACTCCCCTTTGCTTGTGAGGGTCAGCATGATCTGAAGGCATTTCTATTATTTGGTGTGTCCCTCCAAAATCTGTGCACATTTCTGGAGACCTCTAGGTGAATTCATTGTAATATATTAGTATCAGAAAGCAGTTTCTCTGATATCCTTAAAGTGTTTTTATTAATTGAAATTCCCTTAGCAGAGCTCATTAGGTATACTTATAATGAATACTCTGTTTAACTTTTCTGCCATAGAGTGTATGTTGGTGTATGTTTCACAATGACTGCTCATTTTAATTACAAGGACASAGGTGGAAACTACAGTTATGTAAAAGTGTTGTAAACCATGCTTATTTAGAATTTTGTTGGTTAAATTTTTGTTTTCTTTTCTTCTTTTCTGTATTTTATTTTATACAGTAGATTTCAAGTTATAATGTAGGTTTCCTCACATCAGTTAATTTTTCCATTTTTAACCTACATTTTATAATTCTATGGCTATTTCCAATATTTCACAAATTAGGGAGTAGAAGATGAAATTAAATTATGTCTGATTTTTTGTTTCTATTGGCAATACAATTATATTTGCTTCTTTTTTATTTTATTTTTGTTTCTTTTGCCAATAAAATTACATTTGAGATAAAATACACTGTTAAGTTTTTCTTTTAAAGTAAGTTTCACATATGATAATCATTTCCAAACCAGCTTCTGATTGCTTTTGTGGGTAATATTCTTATACACTTTTGCCTTCRAATTSCACCTTTAGATTTAGTCTCTGGCAATCTGCATACAGTTGTAATTTTTATTTGTTTCTTCTGTTTCTTATAATTCTTATCTCTTCTTTTTWAATTGAGTTATCTTGTGTTTCATGCATTGTTATCATGGCATTAATTGATTCCTCGTTCACTTCCCTTCATTCTATGAGTATTTTCTCAATTACTTAGATTTTTTTATAAAAATAATTTTAAGCTTACACTAGGTTTTTAACTAGCAACAAATTGACTTCAATTTCATAACAAAATACATATATTTATTTATGTATCCTTTGAAAATTATGTTATTGATGACACAATTATTTTTATATTCCATACATATTTAGAGGTTTATGATGATTTTTATGTTTTTATGTTTCTAATTCTATTGAAAAAGAGTTTTATGACTCATTAGTCCAGCAAAATTGAATTATATATTGATATATGAATTTTCCTTAGTAAGAAAGCTTTAAAATTTCATATGCATTATGTTGCTGTGCACACTTATTTTATTTTTTAATATGAGTAATTCACTTTAGTATTTTTTGAAAAAGAAGTCAAGTAGGCATAATGTTTGTGTGCCTTTATATATTTTTAAACTCTTTATTTTTACTGATGTTGAAGTATAGTATTTCTGATTGTAGTATTCTCAGTTGATAATTTTGTTTTGTCAKCCCTTTGATGCTATTCCCCACTTTTTTTCTGTATTGCAAAGCTTCCATTAACAAATTGACTAATAATTATATTCAAGTATGCTTCTTAGTTGCACATTTTTCTTTTGGTGCTCTCAAGAGTCTCTCTTTGTGACCACTGAATAATTGAGAACAGCAAACTTTGGTATTTTTGTTTGTTTCTACTTAAACATAATTTAGATTCTTTTATTTGGACTTCTTTTTTTTTTGCTCCTATTAATAATTTCTCAGGCTGTTAAAATTGATACTGGAGATTGAACTCAGTTACTTTTCTACTGCCCTTTGCCTCATCCCTTTTCATTTTTAATTTTTGACAGTCTCACTAAGTTACTGAAGCTGGCCTCAAACTTGTGATCTTTCTGGCTCAGCTGCCCAAGTTGCTAGGATTACAGCTGTGCCCAACCCCCCTGACTCTCTCAGACACTGTTTCTTAAGAAAGTCTTCAAGTACACGATTTTTGCTTGTTTATAGTAATGACTTTTTGTCTGAAATTTTCTCAGTTTTCTATGTTCTTTCTTAGTTCACTAAACTAAAATTATTTCAAAAGGTTATTTAGGTGCTTTGGATRATTCATAACTCTTACTTTCCTAATGTTCAATTCCTAGTGTTTCACTTTTTTCCATTGATTAGCCAAGTGTCCATTATTCTTTGTGTATTGTACAATTTTAGATTTGTCCATATAAAAGCCAGCCAGTAGTAGATTAATAGTCACTTTGGAAAACAATATGAAACTTAGTAAAGAACTGAAAAAATAGAAAGCACAGTGCTACATGTTTGAAATCCCAAGTAATTGGGAAGACATGCAAGAGGCATGTCATACCATGTCTCAAACAATTTAATACATTGTGGTCTTTCATCAACACTCTGAAAACACAGGAGCTGGTAACCATTTTACTCTCTGTAATTCATTTGTATAGCACCCTTGAGCTTAATCCTAAGAACCACACATAAAAAAAATTAAAAGTGGAATGACACTATGATCCAGAAATGCAAGTTCTAAATAGGTATCATACGGAGAATAAATCAGTGTGTTGAAGAGAGAGTTCCACTACTGTTTCAGTGCAGACATTGTTCAGAGTAGTCAAGACATGGACTCCCACCTATGTGCCTATCAGGGGTTAGATGGGTAAAAAAGATGGTATTTATACATAATCAATTACCAATAGAAAAGAGTTATCTTGTCAAAGTGACAAGGGCTGAATATGCAGGACTTTGAATTACAGGAAATGAGGCAGCCACACAAAGTAATTTGCAGCCTCATCTGACTCACATATGGAACTCAAAAGTACAGAGAGTAAAATGGTTACCAGCTCCTGTRTTTTCAGAGTGTTGATGAAAGACCACAATGTATTATTTTAAAGGATACAAGAAGTATTGAGCCCCAAAACACTTAAATACTGAGCCACATCCCAACCCCTTTTATTATTATTTTTTTATTTTGATTCAGGGTCTTTCTAAGTCACTTACAGCATTACTTGTTTTCTCAGGTTGGATTTGAACTTGKGATCCTCCTGCCTCAGATTCCTGAGTTGTGTGGTTTTGAGGCTTGTACCACCACACTGGCCAATGTAGTATATTTTTGATAGTAGAATGAATGCATTGTTTTCTATAAACTAAAATGATGAGTATATAAAATGTTCCTTAGCTACAATTAGTCATGTCATCATATATTTATATTTTCAAATGCCATGAAATTCTTGGAAAACACATGCAATTTAATTTGTAAATGAAATAAATCCATAAATAACCAAATTTATAAAAATTAAAAACTGAGTCATTTGTCTTCATCTCCATGTGTTGACTTTATCCAGGTAATACTGACATAGGATTGTGTGTGTGTGTGTGTGTGTGTGTGTGTGTGTGTGGGTGGGTGTGTGAGTGTGTATGATATATGATATATGTTTACCACTAAAAAGATTTTTTCATATTTCTCCTTTGAGACCATACACTCTTTGAAACCTTATTGAATGTCTGTGTTATTGTCATCCAACATCTCTTATATCCAGGTCTTTCTCATGGTAGACAGAAAGTGGTTTTCAGGCAGTCCTCAAGAAAGCCAAAAATATTCACATTTTACATTTCCCTTTTCCTATTGAAAGAGAAGAAGGGAGTTGGTTAATTTTTCCTAATTGTACAATGGTGATTTCTCAAGGAGGAAGGCCTGTAGTGAATAATATACTTTTYTTTCCTCTGCTGTATTACACTTTTTAGTGATATACTCCTTTGGGTACTGTGAATTTCCTCTGCTATAATACTCTCTTTAATAGTATACTCATCTTAGACACTGGATAATTCTCACAAAGAAAATTTGTCTGTCCATTGTTATTTAGTTCATATATTTATGGAGTAATGATGACTTTCAATCTGCCACCATATTGATGTCCTGACASCTATAATTTTATGTTAGATTTGTAAAGTATATTCTCAGACCAATATGTAAAATAATTGTTATTTGCATTTTTTTCAGCCATGACCTCTCATCATACTCAGAAAATTTTACCAGAACCCAGCAGACAGAATTTATTTATAAAAATGTTAAAGAGAAGATATAAATATTGCAAACTTGACCACTTACAAGAAAAGAAAATACAGAACAGTATAGGTAACAGTGAAGGTCAGAAATCATATTATAAAGGACAAGACCAATTAGAAGTGACTATTCTTAATAAAAATGTCCTTAATACCATCAACAGTCCTCAAGAAGATTTAATAGCTCACAAAAGTATTCAATTTATAACTGAAGGACAAGTTTCTGAAAGTGTTGATTTTGAAAATTTTTTTACAATCTCTTCATCATTTTGCAATGAACAAAAGATTTCTTCTCCTGCCCAAACATACACTTTTAATGATTGTGGAAAGGCCCCTATGTACTCCATACTGCTTAATCAAAATTCAGATATAGATTTCTGGAAAGCATGTAACACATGTGATGAAACAAGCAACACCTTCAGCCAGGTCTCTATGCTAAGCAATTACCAGTGCCCTTACATTGGAGAGGAAAAGCATGAATGTAGCAAAACTCATAACAACTTTAGCTTTGGTTGCAATAAAAGAGAACATCAGTGTGGTCATTGTGCACAGAACATTTACAAAAATGAGAAATGGGAGAATGTCTTTTCTCAATGCACAAATCACCATCCAAGTACTCAGAGCCAAGAGATGCCTTGCTATTGTGAGGAATATGACAGACCTTCTTATCTAACTGCAAGTCTTTCTCAGTATAGTGGAGCTCAACCTGGAAGGGAGCCTTACAAATTTAAGAAATGTGGTCAAGCAGGGAGTTCCATACCACTTTTCAAACACCACAGGTACCATAACAGTGAACAACACTTCAAATTTAAAGAATGTGGCAAAACTTATAATCAAGAACAGCCCTCTTTTAAGCACCACAGAATTCATAATGGACAGAAATCCTACAAATGTGAAGAATGTGGCAAATCCTTTAATATTTGCTCAACAATTTCTAAAAACCTGAGATGGCATAGCAGTGAAGATGTGTACAAATGTAAGGAATGTGAAAAAAAAATTAAGAAAATTTCAACCCTTCATCAATGCCAAAGTATTCCTATGGGAGAGAAGCCCCACATATGTGAAGAATGTGGGAAAAGTTTTACTAAAAGAGGACAACTTACTCAACACCAGAGAATACATATCATAGAGAAGCCCTACAAATGTGAAGAATGTGGGAAAGGATTTACTCGAAGAGCACAACTTACCCTACATCACAGTATTCATACTGGAGAGAAGCCCTACAAATGTAAGGAATGTAGCAAGGCTTTTAGGTGTAGTTCATATCTTACTCAACATCAGAGAATTCATACTGGAGAGAAGCCCTATAGATGTAAAAAATGTGGGAAAGAATATAGACAAACTGCAGGTCTTTCTCAGCACCAGAGTACTCATACTGCAGAGAAACCCTATAAATGTAAAGAATGTGGGAAAGGATTTACTCGAAGAACACACCTTACTCTACACCACAGTATTCATACTGAAGAGAAACCCTACAAATGTAAGGAATGTAGCAAAGCTTTTAATCGAAGATCAAACCTTACACAACACCAGAGAATTCATACTGGAGAGAAGCCCTACAAATGTAAAGAATGTGGGAAAGAATATACTCAAAGAGCAGGCCTTACTCTACACCAGAGTACTCATACTGTAGAGAAGCCCTACAAATGTGAAGAATGTGGAAAAGGATTTGCTCAAAGAGTACACCTCACTCTACACCACAGTATTCATACTGGAGAGAAGCCCTACAAATGTAAGGAATGTGGCAAAGCTTTTAGGTGTAATTCATTTCTTACTCGACATCAGAGAATTCATACTGGAGAGAAGCCCTACAAATGTAAAGAATGTGGGAAAGAATATACTCAAAGAGCAGGCCTTGCTCATCACCAGAGTATTCATACTGGAGAGAAGCCCTACAAATGTGAAAAATGTGGCAAACGATATACTCAAAGAGTAGGGCTTACTCAACACCAGAGATTTCATACAGGAGAGAAKCCCTACAAATGTAATAAGTGTGTTAAAGCTTTTAGGTATAAATCAAGCCTTACCCAGCACCAGAGAATTCATAATGCAGAGATTCAAGTTGAAGAATGTGGGAAAGGTCTTAATGAAAGAGTATGGCTTACTCATCACCAGACCAATCATAATGAGGAGAGGTAGTACAAATGTAAAAACTGTTGCAGACCTTTTAGCAATGGCTCAAACATTGCTTATCACTGGAGAATTCATGTGTATAGAATCTGGAACAGTGCAAATACTGTGCCCAAGTMTTTACACAAATTTCAAATTTTTTTTAACATTAGAAACCTGATACCTATACGGAATGGGGAAAGATATTTGCCTGAAATATATGCCTTAAAAAACAGCAAAATATCTACAATAAAGAAAACATCTTTAGAAATATAAGAAATATAGCAAAGCCCTTATCTGTACTTTGTATCTTGATATATGTGAGAGGGAAATGAGAAAATTCTTTTAACTTTTRTTTAAAATTTGTTAAAAATCCCTAGGTGAGGTGGGAGAAATAAAGAAATTATCACAAGTACTATAAAATAGTGCAGAAAACTTGACTCAGGAAGGATGTAAATATATTATAAATCAAAGACTTCTCAACATTTTCACTTTTGAAAACTGAAGAAAACAATTTAACTTAGATTCTTTTAGAAGAAGAAGACTTGCTCCTCAGAGTTGTTAGTCTATAATTTCAAGTCTTTATAGTGAATTATAAAATCTTWATCACATTGTGTATAAATTTTCCCACTAAATAAAAGTAAAAATTTTTAACGTTTAACATGTTAGGTGTTCAATCATGGTAATATGTCAGAGGTATTACTTACTGTGTTCCTGTTTACTAAAGGTTCCATGCAACAGATAGTAAAAACATACTAAAATATCTCCATTAATCTTTTTAGAAACATTAGCTCATTTGGAGAATAGTATTCACATAAATCAGTGTTGAAAGCCACAGCCGAAGGGGCCCCAGCAAACTTTCAGACTGCCAGCTGATGATTGGCTCACAGCRGCCCCAGCAACATCTAGCTGATTGGCTCCTCTGCGGTGATGCTCCTTGGGCTGTTTCCCTGCCCTTTCAGACCATGGAGCTGCTCATTGGGGGACTATTTTGGCTCCGCCCACTCGACCCAGTGAATCGGCCTCAAGAGCAGGAGGATTGTGGGAGGTGGAGAGGCTTGTGATGGGGTGAGAGGCTTGTGGGAAGCCAGTGGTGGAAGTTGGGCTCTGAGGGTTTTTCCTGAGGAGCTGTTTTGTTTGGCCTGTGTGGTTCTAAAAATAAAGTCCGTTTCTTTTGACAAGTGGCTCCTGAATTGTGCCCAGCCAGACTTCGGCAAATCAGATCTTCATTTATTTTTTTCTGTTTGTAATTATGRTGATCTTAAGACAGTTATAGGTAAGATATAAGAACATGAAAATAAGCCCCAGATTTCTCTATCTTGAATTACTACTCTCAAATTTACCCTACACATTCTGGTCCCAGTAGTGGACACCTTTTTTTCCAGCAACTGAGGAGGCTGAGGCAAGAAGATCCCAAATTCAAAGCCAGCCTCAGCAACTTAGCAAGGCCTCAAGCAATTTAATGAGACACTGTCTCAAAATAAAAAATAAAAAGCACTGGGGATTGAGGCCCAGTGTTTAAGCACCCCTGGATTTCAATTCTTGGTACCACCCAATTTTTTTGTACTTCATACAATGAGAGAACTCCTAAGGGCCCTGCAATTTTGGAGAGCAACACAATTTCCCAACACAGGGTCTTTTAATACCCCAGAAACCAGGAGCCACCAGTGCAAATTTTGTGAAAAGAAGGGCCATTGGAGGGAGAGATCCCAATGGTTGCCCAGGAAGCCATGTGGTCAGCTGGACACTGACCCATCCTGGCTCCTGGCATGTGTGGTAGGAAACAACTAAAATACTGAAGAAGCCAAAGATTTCCTCATGAAGACCCCAGGAATAACCCCCAAGGAGTCTAGACTCACATTAAAAAATTTAGGAAAATACTTTTGCCCAGTAACAAATATCTATTTAGCATTGAACAACCAGAAGGGAACTACAACCAGAAACAAGTGCCCAATAATGAATGTGGGGAAAAAAAGCTATACTCATAGAGCATTTTAACCTCCCACATAATTTATATAATTTTATATACAATCTGACTTTGGCTACTTTTCACTCTACTCTATAATTTATCATGGTTATTTTACATTAGGGATTAAAAGATAGAGAGTATATGGCAAAGTCTCTCCAAACTCCTCTGCCACTGAGTCCTTATGAGATACTCCAGATTACACCTGTCCCTTTTTAGGTTTTAACAGGAACAGAAGCACTTGCCGCCACACAGGAAAAATCAAAGTTCTTATTTAGATGAGACACTGGAGTATAGATAAGTCATATTCAAAAGCTAATCACACCTGGGAATGGTAGCACATGCCTGTAATTCCAGCAGCTCAGGAACCTGAGGCAGGAGGATCTCAAGTTTAAAGCTAGTGCCAGCAATTTAGCAATGTCCTAAGCAACTTAGTGATACCCTATCTCTAACTAAAATACAAAAATGGGCTAGGGGTGTAGCTCAGTGATTAAGCAACCCTTGATTAATCCCCAGTACCAAAAAACAAACAACAAAAAAGCTAAATGCAAAATAATACATATTACCTTACATTTTTTCTTTGTGTTAACCCTTTGGGTCAATGGAACACTCACATTATCACTTTGATCTAAATTGATTGGATATGTAAATATTGCAGGATACAGATCAATTTTATGCATAGGAGACAAGGAAGCAGTGTGTATCTTTGGGTTCCTTGGATTTCAGATTCAGCTACACAGTTATCAGCCATTCTGCATTTCGGGGCTTATGGCTCTACCTTTTCTTCTTTTCTCTACTAAAAGTAGCCTCACACAGAGAACTGCTTTAGTTTTGATGTCATTTTAGTTTTCTAAGGCAAGTTAAGTTGTAATTTGGGAGTGCCTAGGGGGTTACTGCAATTTTTAAGATTATTTCTAGTTTTAGATGGACATAATGCCTTTATTTATTTATTTATTTATTTATTTATTTATTTATTTATTACATAGTACTGAGGATCAAACCCAGTGCCTCACATGTGCTAGGCAAGTGCTCTGCCACTGAGCTATACCCCCGGCTAAAGGTACAGAATTTTTGGAATAATTTTCAATTTACAGGTTAGAATTGTTATATTGTGTTCAGAGGGAAGTGTTGATATACGTTTTTACATGATCCAATTAGTACATCACATATCTTTCACCTCAAATATCTTTCACCTCAAATATCATTATGGAGAAAATATTGAGAGTTTTTTCTTCTCATCTGTGAATGTACCACACATTCCTATGTGTACTCACATTACTGTGTAATTGGACCCTAGAGCCCTAGACCTTGTTTTTCCCATAAAACTATGTTTATGAGCTCATCATTTGCTTCCAACACATACCCAGAAGTGGGAAAATTGGATCACAAGTTTATAAAYTTTATGGAAAAGTCCAGTCACTCCAAATGTCTTCCTCTTTTCCCCATTGGTATCTATCCCTATCATAGGCACCAAGACACCAAAAGCCACCATATGTGCTCATCAGCAAGTCATGACAGCAGGCTTTGGAATGGGAAGTTTATATATCCTTTTTAAATGTGAGATGTGCTACTGGCAAGATGACCACATGGCGTGAGAAGATTGGTACAGATGTGGTGTCAATGGCCCACCTCCACTTCTGACCTCACTTCCACCTTATTAGGGTTCAAAAAACCTAAGGCAAGGCCTCCCCCAGGCTCGCCAAAGAGTAGGGGCACTCCAATATGTGTTGCAGGCCATGGCAGCTTTTCACTATTACCAGCCAGCTCCACCCATACTGTGCACTTATGACCAGCCCYGGCAAGAACTTTAATACCTGAAATGAGACTACAGTGAGTTCCTACTGTGATTCATGGTCCAATACCTCTGATAATGCTGGTTATCTTATTATAGGTGACAAGTTCTGCTTCCTCACATGTTGAAGTTCAAACTTTAGAGAGGCATGCTGAGGAAAGCATATAAATCAGGGTTTATTTAATAAGGGATAACATAAACTTCTCCTGTGAAGGAGAATGGGGCCCTAGCTGGTATCCCAAGAAATGAGGTATTCTGCCCTTTTTATATGTCCAAGGCTTTCTTTATTCTCCTGCCTTTCCCCCTCATCTTTCTCTTTCCTGCCTCGGTGACTAGGCCCAGGAATGCTCACTGGGAGGGACAAAAGGTGGGAACCAGGTGGGATGAGGGGGGAAGGGCAGGGTGGAGTATCCAAGGACACATTAACAACCTTATAGCTCCCTGTAGGGAGGGGAAATACCTGGGACAGGTTACCATGGCACAGGTTGGAGCAGGGGCAGGTTCTTGATAAGATCCCTCAGGAGGACTGTCTCTAACTTCCTATACTCACTCAAAATTGGCCTCCTAGATCTGAACTGACTTGATTTACCTATCTATACGGACTGCCTGTCTAATTCTGGCTTCACCCCCAGATAACATAGGCCTAATTTGCTCTAACTGCAAGAGGTCTCTGCACAGAGACCCGCAGTCCTGAGTCAAATGCCCAGTCCTGCCACAATTAAAACACCACTCTTGAGAATAGAGTCTCTGAAATTGAGGCTGGAGGGTCTGTTTTAAAGCCATGTTGAGTGTAAAACTCTGTAATTGGGTAGGACTAACATCTGCACAAAGGCAAATGAACTCAGAATCCATCCGTTTTTTTTGTTTTGTTTTGTTTTGTTTTTGTTTTTAATGAGGTTGGAAGATGTTCTGACAAACTTTATTGGTTTTCTCAAATGCTAGCTGTTGGGCCAGGAACTCTGAGGCATTTGAGTCTCTGATTGATTTATTTGCTGCCTGGTACTGAYGCGCCACAAAATTGGAAAACTGCTATTCTGATCCTGTTTAACTGACTAARATCCAAAGTAGGCTGATCCCCAAAAGGTATTTTTGCCACACCCTTTTGGCACATTCAGTGAACTGATCATAAATGGCCATATTGTAATTTAATTGTCTCTCTAGGTCTGTAAATTCCCCAGTTCCCACCCATTAACATCTCCAAAGGGGCATCAAAGCCTTGCCTCTGGTTTCTCTCAGACTGTTTGGTGCAATAATCAGTCCAGTGAGATCACCAAAGGAGATAATCACCCCCTGATAGACAAATCTTGGCCATAGAGATCCAGTCACATGGTGGTRAAGGCTCGTTGCATA